TGGCTCCACCGGCACTGGGCCATCCATGGCGACCCTCGCATTGCCGACCTTCCGCTGGTGCACACTGCCACTCCGATGCTGGTCACCCTCCTCTCCTACGCCGCCTTTGTCCTCTACCTGGGCCCCAAGTGGATGGAAGGCCGAAAGCCGTATCAGCTGAAAGGTGTTCTCCTCTTCTACAACACCTTTATGGTTCTGGTGAACGCCCTTTTCTTTTACTTTCTAATCGAGGACCCTGGACATACACTTCANTTTATGGTTCTGGTGAACGCCCTTTTCTTTTACTTTCTAATCGAGGACCCTGGACATACACTTCACCGCCTGCTTGACACCAAGTTCCCCGACTTTAACGCCATTAAAAGCTCTGAAATAAGCGCCAAAGAGAGGGTCACCATTCTCAAGTGCTACTTCTACCTGCTGAGCAAGGTGGTCGACCTGCTGGACACGGTCTTCTTCGTCCTCCGGAAGAAGCAGTCCCAGGTGACCGCCTTGCACGTGTACCACCACTTCAGCGTGCCCTTCTTCGGCTTCATCTACCTCCGCCTGAATGCCATCTGTCACGTGCTGGTCCCTTTCGCCTTCATGAACACCTTCATTCACGTGCTGATGTAAGTGCTTTAGAAAGTTCCAGGGAAACTGTGTTTCACGCAATTCAAATTCTCTTCTCTTCCCACAGGTACTCCTACTACGCACTGGCCGCCCTCGGCCCACAAATGGCGCCCTACCTGTGGTGGAAGCGGTACCTCACCCAACTGCAGATAGTTCAGTTTGCCGTGCTCTTCCTCCATGGCCTCTTCTTCCTGCTTCGCCAGGAAGGTTACGCGCCCTTTTTCGTCGCCAACTACCTCCTTCAGGTGAGCATTTACCTGGTGCTCTTCACACAGTTCTACCTGAGGTCGTACAAGCGAGACAAGGCAAAACAACAAGTGGTCAGCAATGGAAACGTAGGCTTTCCAGAAGTCGAGAGGAAGAAGGAACAGTAGACAGTGTGGCAATTTTTTTAATATTATTTCTTTATTTTTATTATCTTTTTTTGTAACAATGAAACAGTCTCAAAATTACCTGTTTTTCATCGTTGACCATTGGGGGTTAGGGTAGGTTGAGTACAGTTCACAGTGTGCTGTACTGTGTTCGATCATTCGATTCATTCATTCGATCAAAAGATTGTGTTGTGAGTGGCGTCTTTGTTTGCAGAAGGTAAGGGAGAGGCAGACTTTGACTATTTCGGGTTTGGCGGCGGTGTGACAACTAAGAAGGTCAGTTTGAAAGCGAGGGCACTTTGGCTCGGGTGACCTCGCCTTCAAACTGACAGAGCACACACGCACAGTCTCGCACAGACAGACAAAGAGAGAAAGGGAGAGAGAGAAAGATATCAGAGTATAGTCAGCAAAAAAGGATCAGTTGGCTCGTGGCGTGGTGTTTGTGTCGTTGTTGCTCGGTGTGCTTACACGCACACACACTCAGTGCGAAGGCTCAAAAGAATTGCAGCGGAAGAGGATGAGGATGTTTGTGTGTGTGTGTTTAGGAGAAGGAGGATGATGAAGAGGAAGATTGCAAACAAAATGGGCAGAACTGTGTTGTCGCCTACCGTAAAACACTTGGTAACAGTGGCTGGTTGTTGCTTCAAGACAAGTCCAGACAGGTCGTGGTAGAAGTAGAAGAAAGTAGTAGTAGTGGGGGTGTTGGTGTTGAAGGAGGTGGTGATGGTAAGGTGATGGTGGGGTGATGAAGTGATGATAGCAGTTGTGACACTCACCCATCCACATATGTGTGTAAGTGAAGTGTGTGTGTGTGTTCGTAAGGGAGGGGGTGAAAGAGAGAGAGGTAAATCACAGTTGTTTGGGTGAAAAGGTGAAAGTGAATGGGAAAGGGAAGGGAAAGGAAGGGAGCAAAAAATGAGACGATTGTGTGTGTTCAAAGTTGAGGCAGTCAAAATGCAGTATGCAGAGATGATGCAGATGAAGAGCAACAGCAGAGTTAGAGACGAGTAGAATAGATGAGTAGAAATTA